GATGGATGGATGGATGGATGGATGGATGGATGGATGGATGGATGGATGGATGGATGGATGGATGGATGGATGGATGGATGGATGGATGGATAAAATACAACTGCAAGTCCTGTTGCTGGAGCTAAACCCAGTAAGTTTTTTTATTTATTTTTGTGTAAAGTTTTTAATTGTGAAATTATTCCTCTAGTGAAAAGACGTGTGAATACATGTCCCAATGCATTTTAAATCTGAAGGCATGTGATATAAAACATGCCATCATGATAACGGGGCAGTGTATGGTCATGTAAACATATGTCATTCGAAGACTAGACCATCTCGTTTCACAGCGGTTTTATGCAGCATACTTGGACTGCATAGGCTGTGGCCTCCGTGGACCGTGGTCTAGGTAGACCACAGCCCCTGTAGACTTAGCCATAAACCAAACTTGTAACGATTTTAAAAACAGTGCCGTCATTGCCAGACCTGGCCCATATCTGGTTAACAAACCCCTTGCCATGCTAGCAGTCAGCCAGCAGGGTCAGCTTGACATTRGATCTGGTTCACAGCTGTCTGCTAAGTGGGAAGCCTGAGAACCAAATTCTGTAGATTGTATTTATTCGAGGAGGTTGTGTCCCATGTGTGGTTGCGGTTTTCCCCTCACTTGTTTATACTGGTTTTCATTTCTTATATCCCATCCATGTCTTGGAAACCTTAGACAAGAAAAACGACAGAAAATGTTTGGTTAGACTGCACAGGCACACTTTAATCAAAAGGAGTTTGACTGGTTTCACTGACCTTATGACCACCCATAAAGCAAATTTTTTCTGGTCCAGTTCTGGCCCAAACAATACACTAACACTCGGATACAGCTAAGAATGACAGCTCTTTGGTGGCCCAGTACTTTGCCAGATGTGGTTCATGCATGGGTCAGCACCACATAAACCAAATCACAACCAGACCACTTGTGGCATAGCATCTTAAAAATGGCACCATCTTTGCCCAACCCATTCTTCCTCCCAACTCGTCACATGTTGACGTTTGGTCTAGTTTTGGATGCGTCAGGTACCCCCCTCGCATCAGTTATTAACGAGATGAGACGAAGAGGTAGGATAGCGTTGTCATATTTTTGACAAGAGCAAGAAAACATCCTATCCCTGACCTCAGTACCTGAAATTAATCATTAACCCTAATCCCTCATATTAACCATAGACCCCCAACACAAAGACCCCTATGTGGTGCAACCCTGAAAAGCCACGGACATGCATAATTGACGCGACGGGGGTACCCGACGCAGAAAAACTGGATGCAGACGGTACCWGACCAAGCGTCAATATGGTGACAAGTTGGGAGTGAGARCGTGTTGCATTGCCAGACCYGGCCCACATCATGTTGACAAACTACTTGCCATGCCAGCAGTGCCAGCTTGACACMACCACTGGCCTATTCCAGTCTGCTATGTGAGCATGTTGTGGAATCAAAGTCATAACTTGGCACAGAGAATTTATATCATTTCAAAACATTTCAAATACTTTAGAGTATCTTTTTTAAATTCATTTTGAGCTAACATCTGCTTCTTTTAAAAATGTGTAATTTTGTTCATTCTCATGTATCTGCAGATAGATAAAGAAAGAGAGATAGAATCGAGCGTGCAGCTGGCCACAGCGACAGTTAGTGCCGTTGAGAGAAACCAAGCTTTTCTCTTAGAGGAGATCGAACAGCAACACAAAGCAGCAGAAGGGCGAGCAGAGGAGCTTCTCGATGAGCTCGAAACAGAAATCTCTGAGCTGCAGAGCAGACGTGATGAACTGGAATACCTGAATGACACCAAGGACCCTCTGCACCTGCTGCAGGTCTGATGAAACAAGCYKGTTTCTGTCTGGTAAATAAGTTTCTTTTGCTCATGAATGAAGTTCCTTGGTGTTGTTTCAGAGCTTCTCATGTTTGAGCACCCCGCTGTCCTCCAAGGACTGGTCTGGGGTCAGCGTCCACCCGTACCTTCACACAAGGACTGTGAGGGAAGCTTTCTCCAACCTGGTGGCCCTCTGCCAAGAACTTGAACAGAAAGTGTGTGCAGAAGGTTAGTGAGTCCTGAATTAGGTTGACTAGGAAGCACCAGGTTTTCAGTATAAGCCCTTTAGTAACATTATCTTTATTAATATTGTGTTTGAAGCTACACAGCTGCAAAACAAGCTGTGTAATGTTAGTTCACAGAGATTAAAACTACATTGAAGTAAACAGCTAAAACTGACAGCTKTCATTAAATGGAGCACATCGTTGTTTACCAGTTCTGTGTTCTGTCTGTTTTCTTAAGTGAAATAAATGATTTATTTTTGTTTCTTTGCAGAAGTAAGCAAGCTGAGTAAATATTCAGGTATGTGTAAATATCACATTTACAAGCCAMCCTGAAGAAGCATTACAGACTTCAGTGTTTTGTTTCTGTTTCCAGTGGATGTAAGTCTGGATCCRGCAACTGCCGCAGGCTGGTTAGTGTTATCCCAAGATTGTAAAAAGGTACGGTGTACTGTGAGACTATGTTACATCTGACCGGACATTATTTAAGGTTCTGGACATCTGTTGGTTGTTTTTAATGCCTATGATGATGGTGATCCACAGGTAAGCCTGAGCCCCCAGCAAAGACGGCCGTCTCTCCCCAGTGACCCCCGCAGGTTTGACTCCTGTGTTGCCGTTTTGGGGAAACAAAGCTTTGTTTCTGGAAGACATTACTGGGTGGTGAAGGTAGGAGCTCCAAGGAGACACAAATACTGTATATGAAATTCAAGAAATGCTGATGAAAATGATAAATGGAGTGTACTTATGTGGCACCTTTCTATCCAACCAGGATGCACTAAGTGCTTCACACTAAAAATCTGTGTCCTCATTTACTCATTACCACTCACATTCCTTCAATTCATTAAATTACATTCATACACTGATGGGACACATCAGAGGTAGTGGGCAGTCAGTGTTTGCAGGGACACCTTGACATCTTTATCTTTATCTTTAGGGTCCCCATTAGTTTCTACCTCAGCAGAGACTATTCTTCCTAGGGACCCAACAACAGAAAATACAAACACATTGAAACAAAACAACACTTCAGAAAAACAACTCAATTAAAGACAAATTAAATAAATAAATAAAAATTACAAGGAAGGAAGTCAGTTCAAACCTCAATACAAAGAACATCAACAAGAAGGTCACAAAAACAAAAATTACTGTCTTAAAACTCCTTCAAAATCCTATTGAGGGCTATTGAGAAACTTTCCTTGACATGTGACTGAAAAGCAGGGGAATCGGACACCAACTCTCATACTGCTCATAAAAAGTCCTATTGACACACATTGCACCTCATCCAGTGTTTTTATCTATCAGAATTAACAAAAAACATCAGATAAATGGGAAAAACGTCAAATTTTAAAGCAATGGGGGGTTTAAAAAAACAAAAAGAAAAAAATTGTATAGGTCCTCTGGACGGGTTCTTCTCTAATGAAACGTTTCTTCTCTCTTCCAAG